GGCTGTCTGGACTTTAATTCGGAAATCTAACCGCACGTTGCGCTTTGAAACGGAGAACCGGTCTAACATTTGGCATTTGAATGGAGCCGAATAAATGAGATAGAAAAAGCACTATGCATGTCAATCTGAAACTCCAAAGAGCCAGTGGAAAATACCTGCTCACATCACTAAAAGCCCTATTTATGTCAGCATTGAGGAAACTCTGGAAAGAAAGCGGAAAGTCGAGCTCGATTGGAGATTAAGACTTCCCCTCTCCTCACACAGCCCTTGGGAAAATGGGCTATTTAAACAAGGAAGGGAGAGATTGGAATGTATTCTGCTATTGCTAAAGCCCAAAGGGTGAAGCGTGTTTGCATGGGTAAACTGACTTTCATCTTCAGGGCAGTTGCAGAATGGACCTGTGCACCAGCTCTCCAATTTCACAGGAGGAGTGATCCTGACATGTAGTGGACTACCTAAAGGTTCTCTGACTAGAGGTACTATCCCAGTATTACTGTACACTGCAACCCCTACTAATGTGGGTATGAGACTTTTTTAATATTCACTATTTAAACTTTGAATGTTGTGCTGCTGCATGCAGTTTCAGCCATATTAACTTTTTCTGCAGCTACTTTTTTGCAGCTATTTACTAGTGCTGCTATTGTGCTTCTACTCAATTGTGTTGCTATATTGTTGTTTTATGTGTATGTTTTTTTTATTACTAACTCTTGATGATTACCTTCTATATTTTATGTGAATAAACAGTCTCTTTTTTATGATTTCAGGTCTTTTTGTCACGTGAGATTTTTAGATGTGTTTTTTCTTATAGGTATATCGATTTAGTAAGTCTCCTCTGTAAATGATAAATCCTTATGTGTGCATTAAATGCGATTGGTACTATTATCAGCCTCTTTTAGCTATTACCAGACAAAGTTCTAGAACAGGAAATTAAATTATCTATGGATTTTACACGACTAAAAAAAATTCACTCTATGATCTCTATCCTCCTAATACTTCACATACTTTTTAACTCACATATAGTATTGTAAGCTCACGGGTAGGGCTCTCTACCTTTTGTATTGGTCTGTTTATATTGTATTGTCTTTTTCACAATTGTACAGCGCTACGGAATGTTGGTGCTTCATAAATGCCAGTAATAATGATACTAATAATAATAATAATATAACTATTAAGTTGCTTAGCCGGTTTGTTCGAGCAGACTCTTTCATGCTAGTAATGCAGTGCTTACTACCATCTAGTGGTGGAACTGAGGAAAAGGATTGAACACAGTTGTGACTAACTAATATAGAAGTATAAAGTAAAAAATAACTATTTTGTCTGCTGGCAGCACAAGGGTTTATTATGTTGCGGCTGGACAGTGCTTGCTAGCCAGCCGCCACATTACAAAAGTAAAGAATAAATACATTTTAAAAAATCCTATTGGTATCTTATTGATGGAACTCTTAATATAATGTAGGTATTATATTTCCATATAAACCCACCGGCCATGCAGGATGTAAAACTAGCCACTGGGCTGTCATTGCTGCCCTGCCACTAGAAAAGTTGTTTCCCTCCGAGCCCCTGTACATGGGCATCGGGTTGTGGTTGCTTTAAATATTTATGGGGAAGGACTTAGTGACCCCTGAACTCCCACCTATAGGCAAATGGTGGGGTCAGTTATATTAATAACACAGCAACAAGGATCTAGTTCCCCCCTTGGCACCCACCCATGGCCAACAGCTGGTGGCCCTAATATTAATAATAATAGGAGGGGATTTAGTGCCTTCCCCTAGCTCCCACCCAATGGGGGACAAGTGGGGGCCCTAATTTAAATAATAAGGGGTAAGAACCTTATTGCAAGCAGTGGGAAAATTTCACAGCCAACCAATCAGAGCTTTTGGTCATATTGTAAAGTGTAGGAAATTTTCCTACCGTTTAGGATAGCTGAGATAGCATGGAAAATCATATATAGCGAATTTTCTCACCATCAGATCTCAGCGGCATACCCTCCATGGGTAAAGATAGATTATTTTGTATTGTGTCACCGTGTTGGTTATTATGGATTTAAAATTGTCATTTTGGGGGGCTGAAAACAAGAGATCTTCTGATGGTAAGTATACATTTTTTTAAACAGGTTTTAGCTTTATTGCCCCTTCACTATTACTAGGGTCAGAGATGGTAAAACATTACTGTATTTTAGGAAGGCGGCTAAGGGTTTAGGGACCCCAAGCCCTACCCAGGGAGAACAAGCTATTATTTTGTGGTGGACAATGGCATGTCCATTTCACATTTTATAATTATTTAGGGGCCCCACCTTCCATTAACGGGCTGGGAAAACACTAGACCCCCCCTTTATTATTAATATTAGGGCACCCATCGCCCATGGAGAGGCCTGAGGGCATACTAGGTACTCCTTACTATATTATTAATATTAGGACCCCCGCTTGTTGTTCATGTGTTGGGGCTGGGTGAAACATTAGGTACTTCCCCTCTTTTTTTTATTTTTATTAATATTGGGGCCCTGACCCATCACTCATAGGTGGGGGCAGGTGGAGGACATGAGGATCACTTCCATTAATATTTGAGTAGCCCCACCCAATGCCCACCAGATGGCAGATGGGGGCATATGGAAGGAAAATATCGACATTATAGTAATTTGGGGGTGTTATTGACACCAATAAAAATCTTATTCATTTATTTCATTTTCTTTTTTAATGTGGCAGCTGGCTAGCAAGTGTGTTTCTAGAGATTTATTCTCAAAAATAAAATGGTTCTGATCCAACAGGTATTGCATCATGATCAAAATTCAATTCTTAAGTGTGAAATTATAACCACTGTATAAATCAAGATGATACTGTAGGACAATCAGCTCTATGTGGCATGGATGAATAAAGGGAGACCACGTCCAAGGTAATCAATCAATAAACTGACTGATATCTGACATCCCTGATAAGGAACCTTAAATGTTGCCATATGTATTGAATACACTATATATCACACATTTTCAAGATATATTCAATGTAAAATATAGAGATTTAGTCAATTTTCCTCCATTCCAACTCCTCTTTGTGGGTGCTATTCTTCATGTAACACCCAACTCCGTGCCGTTCTCTGCTCCACCTATTCTTTTCTTTGATTTGTTCTGCTTGGGCATGCTGGCTTTATTGCAAGAGAGAAAAAGTTTGTTCCAATCTATACAATAGCTCCTAACACTATAGTGTCCCTCTGCCCCCAATCTCCGCACCCCTCCCACCTTTTAAAGGTTTTAAAAAAACCTTTAAACACTCACATTATTCCAGCCCCAAGGTCCCATAGTGTTGGCTTCATCTCTGCCTCCTCCGACATGCTAATGTGCATTCATTAGGTACTCCCCATAGAAAAGCAGTGACTAAATGCTTTCCTATGGTGATTTAGAAGATGCTGGACGTCTTCATACAAAGCATGAGGATGTCCAGCGTTGTTTTGTGAGGTTAAACTAGTGGTAGACAGTAGTAGACAGCCATACAATGTTTTAGCTGCAGGGTTAAGGGGACAGGAACACTGCACCCAGACCACTTCAATGAAATGAAGTGGTCTGGGTGCCTAGAGTGTCCCTTTCAAAAGGTTACTCCAACCACCATTACAACTCCTGCTTTTAGAAGTGGTCATGGTTGTAGGAGTATGTGTAGTGTTTTAGTTTGAAACACTGCATTGACTGAGATATTGGCAATTGTGTGCTTGAGGCCAGACCCACCACCAGCATAGATGACATTGGCAGTGCATAATTCTGTGCATAAAATACGTGTGTAGTTAGTGCACACAGCATGCTGGCAAAAGGCGTATTGAGCTTCCACTTGCAGGCAGAGTCGACAAAGGAAAGCTTGGATATAACCTCTCTCTTCGTTTATGCAACCATCCCCGCCTCACAATCAGTGCATTTAAAAAAAAAAAAAAAATTTATAATCCCCTCCCGCTCTCCCTCCTTTTGCCGGCTCAGAGCACACACATGTCTGCGCCAGATTTCCCTACCCATCAGAAATGTAGTACAGCCAACAACTGATCCGCGTCGCTGGACATGACATGGAGTAAGGACACCGGCTGCATGTAGTCTGCTGATGTGTTCCTGATTTCTGGAGAGGGGTTGCTATCCCTATATTCCACATTGCATTTCAAACTTGAGCCATGTGAGTTTTGACAACTTATTTTATACATATATTTCTGATACTCAGTTTCATCTGCACTAGTGGATCTCTGTATTACTTTTAAGGTCACTATCCAGCAACATCATTTACCCAGAGAGTATGGTGGAACCTTTAAGACACCAACAGCTATACTACCTAGAGCCAGGTGCTGTTTGGTTCTACACAATGTAATTTCTATCCACATCTACCTCTACTTAACACATTAAAATTCTACATTCTGTGCCGTTTTTCAACATGATGGGACAAATAAACATTGACTCATAACACTTTGCAGTATTTTTCATGCTAATTACAGCCATACTGTCGTCATGTAATTCTTATTGGGAAATTACATAATGCCTATAATGCCTATAAATAGTGTGATTTCCAATTTTAGGATATGTTCAGTATCTTCAAACGGAAATTCCGCTATTAATAGGCATGATATAAATGCCTATTATATCTATCATACCTGTACCGGTTTCAGTATAGTTTATACCCATTACTTTCAATGTCACACTAATCACAGAGACAAAGCAGGTAGTATAGGCAAAGGAGGCTATCTAGGCCACCATGAGGGGCCTCGGGGAGTGCTAACACTCCACAGTTGGTAGGCGCGATACTTGCCATGTGCCAGACGCGGGCAACCCACGCTATGCCACTGCTTGCACATACTGTTTATCGACAATGTGCATCACATATATATTTTACAGTCTGATGGAATATTTGGGAAGTAACATTCCCAACAATGCTGTATATGTACCCTGTGTTTCAAATAAATGTTACTCCATTTTTTGTAAACAAAACAAATTTGGTTGCAAAAGCGATTATTTTATATATATATTTATTCTTTCATGGCTCTGTAGATACAAGTATATATATTTATATCTATATATTAAACCAATAGAGTTGCAATTTGTATTGGCATATAACTCTGGTTTAACCCTCGTTGGTGGTAGATGAGTGAGCATCATATTATATCCTCTGGCACCAAAAAGGATATGCTATACCGCATTCTTATGGGTGCAAAAATAAAACATTGTATAATATCAAAAGGAACTGTTAATGAACACGCCTATATACAATATATGTAAATATAATATGTACATTAATTTTCCTTGAGGTTCTGTATAGATTACCATGACTTTCCTAAGCAGGGCTAAACCGCCTATCACCCATTTACTTACTGAGGTTCATAATAATTGTAGTTAAACAATTGTTAGGAGGTTATTAGCTTTTCATGCATTTAAAAGGCAATATTTAACAAGGAAACATTGGAGTTTTTTTGGAGCTATCAGCACAAACATGCCACTGGCACGGTATCATTATAAGAGCATTTTCTCTTACAATTGTTCCACTTATGGGTTTAAAGTTCAGGGCCATCATGAACGTGTGAAAACTGGCCTGGTTGTCCTGGGAGACAACTGGCCTGTGGTCCTGGGAGGTTCTACGTCCAGTACATCCTCTTGTAAGCCACAGGCTGCCATAGAAAAGCACTGCACTCAAGGCACAAAGAAGGAGAGGATCTACTGCCTGGATGCCGAAGATGGTAGATGGAAACTCCTGGGCCCCTTCTTTAGTTTACAACTAAGCTGTGCCACCGGACCACTAGGGACAAAGTCTCCCTCTGATCTTGTAATCCGCCCAGGGCTGTCATCAGGGGGATACAACTGTGTGGGGCCTGTTATTTAAACAAAAACTAAAGAATATTGCACTCCATATAATCCAAAGTACTTGTCCTGGTGGTTATCAGGCCAAAAATACAAAAACTGGGTAAAGATAGCACTCTCAGGTCTTTGGAATAAAACTTAGCTTTTAATCTACATTTTGAGCTTGATATCCTCAAGCTTTCATCAGGACAGCCTAAAAGCTTGAGGAAATCAGGCTGAAACTTCATATTTTTCATGTAAGACAGTAAAAGCTAAGTTTTATTGCAAAGACCCGAGAGTGCTAACTTTACCCAGTTTTTGTATATGTAGGGTTATATACATATATACACCAAGAGGGCTGCACTCACCTGAACATGCATATATTATAAGGTGCCGCTGGGGACAATTCATACCACATACAAAATCCAGCGCACTCACTCATTCATTAAAGATCAATTTCAAGTCTCACACAATGTAATAGTTTTATTTAAAATCAAAAGAAAAGAATAATGTGGGTTTAGTTCCAGTATATAATCATCCTCATCCAGACATTGCATTCACTACACACTGCATCCACTATACACTGCATCCACTATACACACACACTAAATCCACTATACACACACACTGCATCCACTACACACTGCATCCACTATACAGACACACACTACATTGTTTATACACACACACTGCATCCACTATACAGACACACACTACATCCTCTATACACACACTGCATCCACTATACAGACACACACTACATCCTCTATAAACACACACTGCATCCACTATACACTGCATCCACTATACACACACTGCATCCACTATACACTGCATCCACTACACACTGCATCCACTATACACACACACTGCATCCACTATACACACACTACATCCTTTATACAGACACACACTACATCCACTATACACACACACTGCATCCACTATACAGACTATACAGAGACACACTGCATCCTCTATATATGCACGCACAAACATTGCATCCACTATACACACACACTGCATCCTCTATACACACACTCACTGCATCCACTATACACACCCACTGCATCCAATATACACATAGACTACATCCACTATTCACACACACTGCATCCACTATACAGACACACTACGTCCACTATACACACACTACACACACTACATCCACTATACACACACACTACATCCACTATACAAACTATACAGAGACACACTGCATCCTCTAAATATGCACGCATCAAACATTGCATCCACTATGCACACAAACTGCATCCACTATGCACACAAACTGCATCCACTATACACACACACTACATCCACTATACACACACACTGCATCCACTATACAGACACACACTGCATCCTCTATACACACACACTGCATCCACTATACACACACACTGCATCCACTATACAGACACACTGCATCCACTATACAGACAAACACTACATCCACTATAGACACACACTGCATTCACTATACAGACTATACAGAGACACACTGCATCCTCTATATATGCACGCACAAACATTGCATCCACTATACACACACACTGCATCCTCAATACACACACACACTGCATCCAATATACACATAGACTACATCCACTATTCACACACACTGCATCCACTATACAGACACACTACGTCCACTATACACACACTACACACACTACATCCACTATACACACACACACTGCATCCACTATACAAACTATACAGAGACACACTGCATCCTCTAAATATGCACGCACAAACATTGCATCCACTATGCACACAAACTGCATCCACTATGCACACAAACTGCATCCACTATACACACACACTACATCCACTATACACACACACTGCATCCACTATACAGACACACACTGCATCCTCTCTACACACACACTGCATCCACTATACACACACACTACATCCACTATACACACACTGCATCCACTATACAGACACACTGCATCCACTATACAGACACACACTACATCCACTATACACACACACTGCATTCACTATACAGACTATACAGAGACACACTGCATCCTCTATATATGCACGCACAAACATTGCATCCATTATAGACACACACTGCATCCACTATACACACACACTACATCCACTATACACACACAATGCATTAACTATACAGACACACTACATCCACTATACAGACACACAAGCATCCACTATACACACACATTGCATCCACCATACAGACTATACAGAGACACACTGCATCCTCTATATATGCACACACAAACATTGCATCCACTATAGACACACACTGCACCCACTTTACTTATCCTAATGGGTGGCTTCGAGGGCAAGCCCAGTGGGCCCAGGCCTTGAACTGTGTAAGTGGTTTATTCACTGAGTATTAAACTGGAGTGAACTGGCAAATGAATCACAAGATAATTTAATAATTTGAACTAAATTAGTTGAGTCAGTGCACTGTATGGGGTTATGGTGCTAATAGAAGTTCCTAAACAGGAGCTTCTGGACCTCTGACTGTAGAGGAGACAAGGAGAAGTGCTCAGCAGACCCAGGTAAGAAATCAATCCATAATAAAATGTTTTGACTACTTACAATAGGGTGGTGCCACGCACTCCTGGTATCATAACCACTACTACACACTGTGACTTTAATGGCTGGCTGAGCATCATGGGACAGAAAATAAATCTGCAGAAATTGGCAATCACTGATTCAGAACATTAACAGGGAATGTTTAAAACAATGTACGCATGAAAAATCTCTTTAGTGATTTCCTTAAGTAATTAGGTATTAATTAGATATTCTGAAACAATGACAGAAAGTCTTCAAAGCATTGGATATATCTGTAATGATGACGTGTTTGCAAATTAAGCTTATTATCTACATTGTTAAAATCCCCTATTGATTTATACTGACATTTAAAATGCTTTCAAAACATTTCATGCTGGTAGATACTGCAGCTTTCTGCCTTGTCCAAGACACCTGTGTTCCTGATAATTGACCTGGGTTGACCATTCTTATTAGTACATTTTTTTCTTATTTAGAAATTTTGAAAGGTTTAATACCACCTTTTAAATTCTATATGAAAAATATTTCCCAGATTTTATAATTTAGACCATCAACAATAACAAACAAACAAACAAAAAAAAAATCAATCTACATAGTTATAAATCCCAACCATGAATAAAAATACAGGTTTGGCTGCCTTTTGTTTAAACCATTATTTCTCCTGGTATTTATCTGTGGCCTATATCTGTTGGTATATGTGCCATGACATCTGAACTGTTAGTGTCATGCACATATGTTGTGTCTGAACTATGTTGATTTAATTCAGGAGAAACTGCGAAAGTTAAGGCATTGCAGGAATTGGAACTCTCTTTTTCTGGTTTGGATCCAGGAACCTCCTTGTGAGTTGGGTCTTCTTTAACATCGCCCATTTTCCAGTCATGAGGAGTTCTGTTGTCTTTAGTTTGATTTACTTTTCTTTTGAAACTAGGACTTGGTGCATTAGATAAGATGGTCCTCTGGCTCCCATTTATAAAGTGTCTGTTTTCATCCATAGAATCTTTCCTGGAATGGGTGAAGGTACTACTACTCCTTGGTCGGCACTGTGATCTCCTCATCCCAGTATGTCTTCTGCTTCCCCACTGGCATTTCAAAATGCGAATGAAGGCTCTCTTGAATTCCTTGCTGGAGCAGGGATAAATGATGGGGTTGATGCAGCTGTTGAAGTATCCAAGCCAAAATATAACTTTCCTCAGAGTTTCAGGTGGCTCCAGCTGTTTGAAGATTGAAGCTGGAATGAAAGAAAGGAAATGCATCAGATAATGGACTTCACATGATTTAAAGCACCACTCTATATCCATAAAGCTAATTAGCTTACTTGTAAAGAGTATCCAATCTTTATTGCATGTTATGCCAGTCACAGTAAGCCCACAGGGCTCATTATACTATGGGGCTCCTCTGCCTCCTACCCTGGTTCTCCGTGATCACCATGCACGTTCACAAGTGTGCAAGCTCTAATGACTGAGAATCAGAGGCTCAGAGAAGCCTTGTGTAATCATTTGTAGCTGGACATCTCTCAAGACCGGAAGTGATGACACTTCTGACCTTGATTGAGATGAGTTCCTGATGGCCAACAGATGTAGACAGAGATATATAAACCAGTAAATGTTTGTATACATATAACCTCGAGAAGGGCATCAAAACTACTTTAGCTCAACATAGCAGTATGGGTGCATAGATCATGCCTCAGCAGTCTCACTGCTTAATTCTCTGCCGTTTAGGAGTTAAATCACTTTTGTTTCTGTTTATGCAGCCCCAGTCATGCCTCCACTGGCTATGACACACAGCTTACATTAAAAAAAAAAGGTTTCATTTTCATTTAGATGTTAACGTCCTTTAGAAGTTTTAATTTCATGCTCTGTAAATTAAACTTTAAGCAATTCTAAATTAAACACACTGTGCAATTAGGGAGTTTAAACATTAGATGCCTCTTTAGATTAAGTATTCAGGACTTTGCAAGTCATTCAGGAAGGAGTGGCTAAGGCTATGTAAAATAAGTGATTTAAAGCCTAAATAACAGAGAACTGAGCAGTAAGAATACACTATACACCAAAACTGCTTCAATAAGCTAAAGTTACTTTGGTGCTTATGGTGTCCCATTAAAAACCCCTCAATGCTGCAAGGATTATTTATGTGGCATCTAGCCAGGCTCCTGCTAGCCAGCTCCTGCCACGTTCAAAAAATTAAAAAAGTTAAAAAAAAAACCCTAGAAGGGCCAATAATACTCCATATTACTATAAGGGAGCTTTTAAACCTCCTTATTTCCCATTAGAAAATCAGGGGGAGACTGTGAGCTTAAATAAACTAGTGGGGAGAGACAGTACCAGGCCAGCATCTGCTGTAGTCCAGTCAAGCTCCTATGCCGAGCTGCAGGAACAGCTATAGAGAGTGTAAAACTCAGTGCTGCCCCAGCACCTGTAGTGTCTGTATGTGAGGCTGCAGGAAGTAGAATAAATAATTTGCCCTCTGGCCACTAACAGCCTCTCATACAGAAAGTTGCCTTGCATACTGGGGATGAACCCTGTATAACCACTCCTGCAGCTCTTAAGCCCTATAAGCCCTTTACCATAATCCTATATTTAATTCCTCTTAAAAAGTAAACACATCATGTACCATAATATTACATTTAACCCAACATTAGACCTATAAAAAGTAATAACAAACAGCCCTTATACTAAAAGCTGTTAATCTTCATAACACGTAATACCTTTTATAATATAATAACGCTGACATTATCCCCTCTCTAACCTTAAACCCTCCCCCCCCCCTCTTTACTACAACTACATCTAACATTGTATGTAACTCTGCATGCATTCATGCATTTATACAGCAACATACACACAATGCACTCACAGATTCAAACAAAATACATTGCAAGCAGAGGAGAAATATGTAAGTACATACATTTATACATATGCAGTTGTCAAATATATATATATTTTAGATTTTTTTAGGCCTGCTATGTCCAGTTAATAAATTCATTATGCTTACTTTATCTTCCTTTTTTGGGTGTTAGGGAATAGTGGGCACCTTAGAATTTTGTGCCTACAGGGGTCTGATTTACACCAAAACCACTTTATTAAAGGACCACTCTAGGCACCCAAACTACTTCAGCTTAATGAAGTGGTCTGGGTGCCAGGTCCAGCTAGGGTTAACCCATTTTTTCATAAACATAGCAGTTTCAGAGAAACTGCTATGTTTATGAATGGGTTAAGCCTTCCCCCAAAGCCTCTAGCGTCATTGACAGCCGCTAGAGGCGCTTGCGTGCCTCTCACTGTGATTTTCACAGTGAGAGCACGCCAGCGTCCATAGGAAAGCATTATGAATGCTTTCCTATGTGACCGGCTGAATGCGCCCAGCGCTGGAAAAAGGTAAGTTTTAACCCCTTTCCCCTTTCCAGAGCCGGGCGGGAGGGGGACCCTGAGGGTGGGGGCACCCTCAGGGCACTATAGTGCCAGGAAAACGAGTATGTTTTCCTGGCACTATATTGGTCCTTTGAACTAAAGTAGTTTTGTAGGTTAAAGTGTCCCTTTAATGTTGTGGAGCTCTGTTATACACTCACACAAACAATACAGAGCTCCAAGAACAGAGGGACATTAGGATAGCAAATAGGGACAAAATATGGTCTTTACCTCCTAAATATGGACACTTGTGATGTATGCAATATGGTAGAGGCAGTGAATAAAAAACACATATATTAAAGATGCAATTTTAATTTATGTAACAAACAAGAATTTGGCACGTTATTCCCAATATTTTCCACTTACAATTGTTGCCGCTTTACCCTTTGATGATGTTATAGCCTGGGGATACTCAGTGTAAATATAATTAGGAATAAGGTTTCATAGAATTTCTAAACATCTTACACACTGTAATCTGACACAAAAACAAACACATGGATGCTAAAAGGCAAGTACATTCTGTACTTTGATGTTTACATTTAAATCCTTTACAGGATTATAGAAATCTGAAAATGTAAATTGTGATCCCTCTTGCACATAAAAGTGGCTAGCATAGATTTTTTTTTCTCATATGTTACTTACAATGCTCCATCATATTCAGCAGAGCACAACCGCCTTGATTTTAGATCCATGTCCTGCAGTTCCAGGGTTATAATCTATCCCAAGAAACCAGTAGCCAATAAATGCCCAATCTGTATATTCACAATATGGTCCGTACAAGTAGCATTTTTCCTATTTTTGCGTGCACCATTTGTGTTAGCTTTGTAAGCAAATCTGTGATGTTTATAGTAATCCATACGTTAACTTTTTCAGTTGTGGAATTGAAAGCCACAAACAACACTCTAGGTTTTTAAAATAAAGCACACACATTTGTTAAAGCACATCTGTCATTTTGCAGGTAATGCCTTTAAATTAATTATCTTTTGCTCCTCCATATATCCTTGTTTTTATTGTATTGCAATTCAGCTTGGAATTTTATTTATCATAAGAAAAAAATGTTGTTTTTTCCGATGCGGCTCATGATCTTTGGCAATTTTTGGAAATGGGAAGGCCTGATAAGCAGGAACTACATATCCATTTTATCTAGAGCAATTCCATCCAAACGGGAGGAAATTGATAGGCCAAGAGAACATTATGCACTAACATTATTTAAAATTGTCTCTGTATACCCTTTCTTGAAACAGTACATTTGCTACATTTTAATTTCAACTTTTTAAACTTGTTTTCCAGATAATCCTTTTTAAATGTCTTAGTTTATAATTATTACAATTGTTGTTAAAGAAGCACTGAAAACATCATAACCACTTCAGGGTGCTCTGGTGCCAGGATTGCCCTGGCACTGCCCACCTCCATGTAAGTAGACAAACTAATTGACTTTGTACCTGGGTTCCATTTGCCTTTGCCACTTGAGGGTCCCCGGGGCACACCAGGAGCGTGCACTGTAGCAGTTATGGACCTTGGAGTATTCCTTTAATTATACCAATTTCTTAATAAACAAGACTAAACTACGAGGGATCACGGGATAACCAAACAAAATAAATACACAAGAAGGCATGCACTCATGCCAGCTCGTTAATCCACAGGTCTGGCACTGTTGAGCAAGATTTATTAATATGATCTAGTGTTCCATATGTCTAGACAAGGTTAGTCAGTCAGTTCTGCAAGTGTTCTAAGTCCTAAAAAGTTTTGTATTTCTTTTACTGGAATATAATAAATAAAATCAAGTTCAAAACCGTAAAACAATTATCATTGTGATCTAGTGGGAGGCATACATTATTCAGTGAATAGTGAGGTCTTGGATGGAACACCCTTGGCTGTGCAGATAAATACAACTTTGCCTGTTTGGAGTACAGAGTTATAGATTAAATGTCCAAGAACTTCATATCTAAAAACATTCATGTTGCTGCTCTTAAGGGGGAAATTGTGATGTAGATTGTCATTCCCTGACCAGCCGTTGACCCCCTGGAGACTAGTGATAGAAACAATCGCTGTCATAATTTCTAGAGAAAGAAGAGTTCAGAATGATCTCCAAGTCCACACTATATTATTTTTCTTCAAATCAGTCTTTTATTCTCATTTTGCAATCTTACGTAAGACTGTCTAATCAGAGTTCCTGGTGCTCCATGCCATTCATTATCTTCATCAAAAATAAAAAGTATCAGTTTCCTAACGTTTCCTACCAGTTCCAATTCCAAAATACTGTGTTGACTACTGAGCTAAGAGAACTATTTTTACATCTCCATAAATAAAATAACAGGAATCCAAAATGGGGCTAAACTTCAAAGTCCTTATCAGTTGGAACCCATTTTTTGGCGCCTATTCCCTTTTACTCTATGCTATTTATAACGTATCTTTACCACCCCTTACTCTTTATGTATCTCTCAATCCCGTTACCTTTTGTATGCCTTTTAATGCCCCCTTTTACTCCTTGTGTGTGTCTTACTACTAGACTTGGGCAGTCTTATTCAGAAGATTTACCAACTAATGAAATATTTAGTTTCTTTCGGTCATTTAGTCAGCATCTGAATGTGAATGGCATAAATTACAGAATTTCTAAATGACTGAATGGTTCACTGACCAAATTTTATTTGGTAGCTTTCAGGCATACTGGCCACTTTTATACCTCTTGCCATGTTGCATGTGGGGGCATGTCTGCTAAACAACAAGCAGCTGGTGGCTACCTGCTGTAATAAAAATAAGCTAGCAACTGGGCAGCTATTGCTACTTGTTGCTAGTATGTTGTCATATACCCATCTGGCCCCACAGTGAGGC